CCACAATGCCCAGCTATTTTTTGGCTGCAGCCGTCATTGTTGTTTGGCGGGCCCGGGCTGGATTCGAACCCGCCACCTTAGGTGTATGTGGCTGGCACCCTAGCCACTTGAGCCACAGGCGCCGAGCCTGCTTTGTGGTTTAGAAGGACACAGGGTGGAAGGGGTGGTGCACAGACAGGTCTGGCCTCTTTGTCTTGCTTTCATGCTAGGCCAGACCTGAGGGAAGTGGGTATCATCTTGGCAGTGGCCACAGGCACTACTATGCTGTCTTTGCTTTTGTCTTGGGGTTCAGCCAAAGACTTCATCCGACACTTGATGGAGAAAGATCCAGAGAAGAGGTTCACCTGTGAGCAGGCCTTGCAGCACCCATGGTGAGAGTTCCCATAAGCTGTGAGCTGGGGTGGGGCCTGGGGCCCCCAGGCTTGCCTCTGCCTTCACAGGCAACCCTCCACATACCCACATCCTAGGATTGCAGGAGATACGGCTCTAGATAAGAATATCCACCAGTCGGTGAGCGAGCAGATCAAGAAGAACTTTGCCAAGAGCAAGTGGAAGGTAAGCCCATGTCCCTGATCCTGGGTCCCAGCCTCCCCAGGACTCCTTCCCATCTCAATTGAGCCTCATCTCCCACACACCTTCCACTAAACTGGGAACACAGTAACTGCTCAGGGATGTTTACTGAAGGACCACATTCATTCATTCAACAAATGCTCCTTGACACCTGCTCTATTCCAAAGGATTTCATTCATTCAACAAATACTCCCTCTGACCTCCAACTCCAGAGGAAGAACTGTCTATAATTCTTCAGGAGGCATCTGATTTAGTCTGTGGGGTCTGGGAAGGATCATGAAGGTGGTGATGACTTGACAGACATGTTAGTTGGATAGGAATTAGCTGGGCACAGTAAGTAGATTAATGTCTGAAGCAAAGAGAACAGGTGTGCAAATGGCCAGGGGCAACAAACACTTCAGCCTTCAGGGATGTGCAGGTGCTGAGTCAGGCTGGATGAAAGGGGCTGAGGGGACTAAGAAGCAGGTGCAGGTAGGGGCCAGGCCACTCAGGGGCTTGACTGTCACAGTGGAGCTCTGAATTAATCTTGAGGGTTCTAAGAAGATGTGGGCTTTAGCAAGCACTCTTAGGATGGAGAGAACGACATGGCATCAAGACGGGGAGACCTGGCTCGGTGCCCTTGGCACAGTGGTTTACGGTGCCAGCCACATGCACGGAGACTAGAGGGTGCGAACCTGGCCTGGGCCAGCTAAACAATGACAACTGCAACAAAAAAATAGCTGGGTGGTGTGGTGGGTGCCTGTAGTCCCAGCTACTTGTGAGGCTGAAGCAGGAGGATCACTCGAGCCCAAGAGTTTGTGGTTGCTCTGAGCTACGATGCCATAGCACTATACCTAGAGTGACTCTGTCTCAAAAAAAAGAAAAAAGGAAAAAAAAGAAAATGGTGATATAAATAGTGCCTACCTCTAAGAGTTTTGTGAAGATTAAATGAATTATCTAAATTGCTTAGAGCAGGACCTGATATATATAAAGCTACATAGCATTTTCTATACATATGAAAGGGTATTATATAGTTTTATATATATCTATATATACACACATATATAATGTTGGACAGTTTGTGAACTCAGGCTAGAAAAAGTGCTACATATCTCATTGCTGAATATCACTACGGTCACCTTTAAAGTATTCCCCTTGGGAAGCTATGTACCAATGCCAGCACCTAGTCTACCCTTCAAAGCAATGTTTGAATTTTTTCTGTAATGTCATCAGAGATTTGCATCATGAGGTTTGACACTTAAGTTTGTGAACTCTTAGGAAAAAGTGCTTTGAAGGGTAGACCCAACCTTGTATACATGTTTATATATACACGTACATTTTATATATGTGCATGCATGTTTGTGTAAATATATGATGTACAGCTCAGCTCCTGTAGCTCAGCGGCTAGGGCGCCAGCCACAACTGGTGGGTTCGAATCCAGCCCAGGCCTACCACACAACAATGACAACTAGAACCAAAACAAACAAACAAACAAAATAGCTGGGCCTTGTGGCCGGTACCTGTAGTCCCAGCTACTTGGGAGGCTGCGGGAAGAGAATTGCTTAAGCCCAAGAGTTTGAGGTTGCTGTGAGCTGTGACGCCAGGGCATTCTACCCAGGGTGACAGCTTGAGACTCTATCTCAAAAAAAAAATTGCAAGCTTGAGCCATTATACTT